CAATTTTCAAAAATTTCATAACTTGATGTTTTTTCAATTTTTTATTTCATACTTATTTTTTCGTTGCATTTTTGTGTTGTTCTTTGTGTTATATATTTTTTTAAAATTTATTTGTATGGTGAGTTTCTTTACATTTGTTTATTTTATGTTGTTTTTCATATATACTTTTCATATACATTGTTTCTACTTATTTTTGGCTGTAATTATGTATCTTTTATATTATTTTTTATATTGTTTCAATTTGTAACCCTGATATATTTATTTGTAGCACTGAAGATGGGTCAAATCTGGACCCGAAACGTATGTTCTCTTAATTAAAACATTTTGCATTAAAACTTTTTAATTATTGGATGGATGCCCAAGAAACAATTTTTATCATATTATTTCACCATCTGAAGAAAAACCTCTCGCTTTATATATATATATATATATATATATATATATAACTAATAAAGCCTAGAATTCTTTTGTAACTAATTGTATGTATTCATCCAACTGTATAATTTATATTTTAATTTCAGGATATTAAATGTTTTAGACAGTAAAGTGTAACACCTACAATTGAAAGACACCCAGTTAAAATTATCATGCGAATATGAAAGAGCAGATGCAGCAAAAATATGTCCTGAAAAGCATAAGGAACGAAGAAGAACATTCCTGCCTTTATTCCCAATTTTTTTAACAAAATCTATAAAAAAAGGTCCAGTAGCTACTTAAAACTTATAATTTTGGTTAAAATGCCTTCTTGACGTTTATACAAATAAAATTAATATTATCACCCATGGTAGCATATATTAAAGGAATATATGGTTTACGTTTTTTTAGTTTAGTAATTTATAATATTACATATTTTAAATAAGTAACAAACACATCTCTACGGAATTCTATGTCTTGGACACATAACATTTGCTCTGAAATATTCCTAAAAATAAGATTATTACAGTATCCTCTTTTCCTTTATTCCAACACTTTCTTGGTTATTATATTTTTTAACTTTTCCTTTATGATCATTATATTTCTTAGTTTCCAATTTTAAAATGTTTGCACATTTTTAAGACAATTGTAACAGTTTTTGAGGTAACTATAAAAAATATTCTTTTAAAAAAGCCACATCTAAAACCCTTATTGAACCAAGAGTGGGATAAATATTAGTTATATAGATAGATAATTGTCTTATAATATTGAAAAATGTTTCACAAATTTTATAAATCATCAATCTGATCCATGCAGCTATACTCCAGTCAATGAAGAGTTTTGGGCCCGATTTTTTTTGATGCATGAAATTAGGAATTAGGTTCATCCTACCCTCAACTGCAAAAGTAAAAACAATTTGGACTCCGCCGCCACCCTCCGGGGAATGACACCCCTTCTCAGTGGTGTAATTTTATTTAAAAAAATGTTTTAATAATATTTTCAAAAAAACAAATACTTTTCATTTTACTGGCATCTAAAAATTCTTTTTTTTTCTTTTTTATATATATATATATATATATTTATTTTATCATGTAATGAACAAAATAATGTCAATTAAAATCTTAAAAACATAAACTTCTCCTTCGGGGAAGTTAATTCTCCTTCGAGAAGTTAATAAATCGGTTCTAAGAATAATATTAAACTAGATTTGAAAAAGCAAAGTTGTTTTTATTTCGTTCAAGATTTAATTGTTTTATTTAAAGCCATTTAGCAGTGAGATGCTACATTTTATACATTTCAGTGCGATTAAAATTAATCGTATTCCATCTAGAATTAACTTGGTTAAAGAGATCTTGATGGATTCTAGCACATACCATTACTTTAGTACAAACGATTTTCAAAAAACTCACAATTTTATAAAAAAAAATTTTTCCAGTTTTTTAATAAACCAACTTATTTGACTTTGTATTTTTTTTTTTACTTATATTATTATATTTTTTGACTTATATTATATTATATATTTGACTTATATTATACTATTTTCATTATATCTCAGAAAGAATAAAAGTATGTAGATAAAAATTTAACATCTTTTTCTGACTAATTATTGCTTTCTTTTCTTTTAAAAAAATATTGATAGAGTTATGATTGTTTAAAGAGTATGCGGCAGTGCAACCAGAGTTTCTTTCGAGCCCTTCAACCATTTGCCGTTTCAAAATAAAGAGTTATGGTAAAATTTATAATAAAAAACGTAGCCCTTATAATTGCCTTCAAAATGATATATTACAAGTTCAGATAAAATCAAAATTAGAAGAGTTATGATTCAAAAACTCATCATATTTTTGTCTAATTTTGTCTATATTTAAATTAAAGTGTAAGTACACAGTATTAGGTGCCCAAAACTATTGATTGTATGTATGATGAATTCTGGTTTCTTATTCCATAATTAAATAATTTATAATATGTAATCATAAATATCAACTGTTTTTATTTAAGGGTTGAAAAAAATTATAGATTAATTAATTAATTAAGGTAGTTAATTTTGAGAATTTGAAATAACATTCAAATCATTAATTTTTTCAATTTCAGAATAATTTTTTTAAACAATTTTTTCTTATGGATTTGTTTTTAAGGGTCAAAAAAGAGTTGGAAATTCGATAATTAAGATAAAGAGGATAAAATATTATTTACTTTATACTTGAATCTTTTTATGTCATACCAAAATTTATTTTAGGTGTTTTTTCAACTCAAAGGATGTTCGCAAGGTTGTAGAGTTTTAAAGGCATTGAAAATTACTTTATTGTGAGGTAAATGTATTAGGAAATATTTTACAATTTTATTATTTAATATTAAACACGTTTTCACTTATAAACATTTGCACACGTTTCGTAGTGCAAATAGTTTTTACTTTTTAACTTAAGGGTAAGATTAGAGCACTTTCAAAATTTCATGCAAATTGGAGCAGAGTAAAAAAAATTCAGAGTTTACACCCTTTTTGCATCTCCTACTAGATTCAATGTTAATTATCTAACTATATATTGATAATCTAATAATTTCTAACATGAATAAAGATTTAACATTTTGATAGCATTGCCGTAATTACCTCTTAAGCTACTAGGATCGGGCTTCTTTAAATCTTCCTCATCTAACAAGTCATCATCATTAATTACTTCATCATCATCATCATCATCAAGCTTCCAAACAGTTGTTGCTTTTTTATTTTCTGCAGCTAATGATAGTTTCACAGATGAACCCACCTGTATTCAATGTTTAAAAGTACAATATATTGTTATTGGTTATCTATTATTAAACAATATATAAAAGATAATTATATAAATGATAAACATAAACTAATAGACTATAATATGCAGAAAGAAAGAGTCAATGTATTAAGGTGACCATATGCCCTAGATTGGCAAGGACAGCTCTTGATTTCCATTTTGCTCTCCAGATTATTCTAGAAGTGATATGTGTCTTAAACTCAAGTTTTTCATGCAGAATTGTTCAGACTTTTTAAAAAGATTCTTATTTTACTCACATTTTCACATTCAGATACTAAAAGTGATATTACTTACTAAAAAAAGAGTAGAAAAGTGTACAGAATTTTACACAATGCCAAAAACATCATTGCCCGCAATTTTGATTCACTAATTTTTATTCATTCAAAATAAATAATGAGTGGAATTTTATATACTTTATATATCTAAATAGTATTTGCTAGATTTCTTTAAAAAAATACCAAATTTAAAATATAAAAATATGGTCACCATAAAATATATAGACATTATAAGATAACCAGTAAAAAAACTATTAAACCTTGTACTTGTAATATTTTTTAAACAGCTCAACTTTTTTTAGATTTAATTTCAAATCACATAATAAATATAGACATACTAAAAAATAAATAAAACCTTTCTAAGGTTAAGAAACAAAAATGGTAAACATAAATGGAAGTTAGTAAACATAAGTAAAACTTAAATTTAGCATTTTTTCTTAAAATTAATTTACCTCAAAACTTGGCTTTTCACAATAAAACTCATTTGAATTTTCAATTTTTTCTTTTATAGAAGTTTTAGTGAACCCGTAAATTTTTAAATTTGATACTATGGAAGCAGTATCTTCACACGAGTAATAAAATATGAATTTTCCATTTGGTTTCAAAATTTCTAGCAGGCGTGAAAGGACTTCAGCACTTATTATTCGCGAATCATTTCTCATAAAAGATAAAACGACATTAAATTTATGTTGAAGTTGAGTTTGTTTATCTGTGAAAATAAAAATATAAATATGGCAAATATATTAAATATATAAAAGTTTAATGAGTATTCCTTTGTAAATATTGTTAAGAAATCGAAAACTCGCCTGATAAAAGTTCATTTATTGAATTTAGGCATGATGTTTTTACACCGGAAATATTTTGAATTTTCTCAACAAGTTCTGTAATTCCCAGCACTAAAACTTCATCATTTTCTTTTATATATTCCATTATTACAAATGTCATACAATAATAATATATTTTATTTCCAAAAGTGTAGAAAAACTCTCTATTGTTTGAAGGTTATGCACAAAATAGATGACATTGATATTTTACAATAATAAATGATTCATACTTTTAAGTCATGCCAATCATGTGAAGGTAAGAAAATAACATGAGATACTCATAGAGTTGCCAACACTACAGTTTTAGCTGTAGATCCACAGATAAAAAACGAGCATAGATCTACTGATCTACTGTTTTTTGGAAATCTCTTCTTTTATCTATGAATGTATTGAATGTATGAATGTATTTATGTATGAATGCTTATTCACTTATCATGCTTACTTATCTATGCAGTTATATATGACATGACATAACTAGTGGGGTGCATGGCATCGTGCCTTAAGATTCATTGCTGGAACTTCCCGTACCGTAATTAAAAATCTTGGCACCGAACCCAAAAAATGTGTACACATTATCAAAATCTCTATAAAATATCTGATAATTTGATGTACATATGTCCAAAAAACATTTTTGACTGCCAAATAACATTTTTTAAACTTATTTTTATTGAGAGTTCATAACAGCTGGACCTGACTTCCCAAAAATTCAATCAGTTGTTTACCTTGTCAATACAAGTAAAATGTTTTTTTTTATTATTGAAATCGGACGCTCCGTTCTCTTAAAAACTGAGTTACCGTTTTTGGCTCTTTTTGCCCCGTATCTTCGGCTAAACCTACCTTCACCAAAAACTAATCAGCACGTCTCCTTATCAATACAAACCGAGTGTTTTTTGAATTATTGAAATCGGTTGATCGGTGTTCCCAAAATCGTCAACGAAAATTTTTATCCGCACACGCACACACACACATACATCCATTATTTCTAAGGTATGCCAAAATGTACAGAAACCTTTGAAACGTAAAGATATATACAAATTTGCATTTTCGATTTTTTGCGATTACTATAATCATAGATAAAAAGGAGTATACTATAATGACTATAACTTACCATGAATGCGATTTGCGATTACTATAATCATGGCCGGTAATCTCCGAACAAATGTAGATTACCTTGTTCTGAAATGAATTGGTATTCGAATAGATCGAAGGATGGCGCTACGATTTCCAATTTCATTGATCTAACAAATAGCTTGATCTACATTGATTTGATCGGCCATTTTCTATAAGTTGTCATCGCGTATTGTAGTTGAGATGTGTATTTGCTTATTTATCTAGGACTATAATTACCATGAACACATCGTCATAGATAAATAAACATAGATAGATTGCTATCTCGGGCGATTTGACGTTACACCCATTTTAATTTACGAATTGATCACAACATGGCAGCACATGTACAGTATGTAAATTAACCCCTGGTATTACTTCTACATTAGTACATACTTATATAAAAGAAGAGTATATATAATTAATACAGCCAAAAAATCTAAAAAAAAATTCATATTTGAAATAAGAACAAAACATACGAAATCTTATATATAAAAATGGATCGCAAAATCTGTTGGTAAGCGCATAACTCAACAACGCCTGGGCCAATTTGGCCAATTCTTTTTTTTAAAATGTTCGTTTATGTGCAAGGATGGTTCTTACGGCGAGAAAAAATCGAATAATCGTCGGGAAAACCCTAAAAACAGCCCTTTTCTAACTAAAAAAAATAATCGTAGTCGGCTTCTCGATATTATTTTTTTTTGTTTTACTCTCGGCAGGCGATAAAATTGGTATGGCTTTAAAGAATTTGACTTCAAGTCATATAAGATTAAAACAATCAATGTCAATGTCCATTTGCCGCCCTTGCCGGTGGTGTTTTTCTTGCATTTTCTGTTATACTTTTGTTTTGTGCGATTGATCGAATTTATTCAGTACATCTAAGCCATGGTGAATGTTTTTATTTACGACTGCTATTAGTCAATGTACGTGGCCCAATATCATTCCAACATTTACGAACTGTTGATGGTGAATTGTGTGGATCCTACAGAGAAGCCCGACAACGTTTACAATTGCTAGAAAATGACGCTCATTGGGATCAAATTCTCAGTGATGCTATAATATCTTCACACGCTCATAAAATACGAACATTGTTTTCTATAATCATATCCACAGGCTTTCCTTCAAACCCAATTGATTTGTGGACTACGTACAAAGATTATATGTGTGATAAATACGGAATAAAATGGGAAATCCAAATATGCAAATCAGTAAAGAAATTTACAACGAAGCATTGATTTCAATTAAAGACATGTGCTTGATGATGTCAAATAAAGTATTAATTCACTTAGGCCTGGCCGCGCGCAATTTTCCAATGCATGATGCTTTTAACCAAGAGTTGCATCAAGAAAAATTGTATGATCTCAGCAATTTAAAAGAATTAATCGAAATAAATTTTCCACTGTTGAATGAACAACAGAGATATGTATTTCATATTCTTATGAAAGTAACAAATGATGGAACTGGGGAGATTTACTTCTTAGATGCGCCTGGTGCTACAGGAAAAACTTTTTTGATTTTATTAATATTAGCAACAATTCGCTCACAAAACAAAATTGCACTTGCACTCGCTTCATAGGGAATCGCAGCAACTTTACTCGAAGGTGGTCGAACAGCCCATTCAGCACTAAAATTGCCATTAAATATGCAAAGCAATGAAACTCCACCTTGCAACATTTCAAAGAACTCTGAAATGGCTAAGGTTTTGCAGCAATATCAATTGATTGTTTGGGATGAATGCACGATGGCACATACAAAATCTTTTGAGGCTTTGGACAGAACCTTAAAGGATCAACAGAAATTAAAGAGAAATAACTTATTAATATTAATTACTTAATGACAAATAATAATAATATATTAAAAACTAAAAACTAAGAAGTGAAAAGCGCAGGAGTATTGACGATGGAATGACAAATTTAGAAGGAATGATAAGTAATGCAAAAATTTTAAAGGACAAAAAGAACAGCAAATTTTTAAAAAAGAACAAATACTTTCCAGATAAAATAATTCTGAAAACAAAAAATATATATATTGATATCCAAATTGAGATAAAACTAAATTCCTAGGATTAAAATTTATTTACGACACATTCTTCTTTATTATCTCTCCATTTAATAGTTATTTTGCTAGCTAACCAATCGTTAATAAAGTTACATTAACGAAATCTTTGAATAGTTTCTGTATAAGTGTTTTTTTAAACGTAAGTAACCAAAACCCTGAACTACTTTTAATTTATTCCAATTGTAGCTCAAACCTATCCATACTCTTCTTTTATCTATGAACCTATCTATCGTTTTAATTCAGTTTTTATTGCAAGGAGGTTTAGTTAAAACCATATACTCTTCTTTTATCTATGGTTAAAACTATAACTAAACCCTTGCTTTTTATAAACTGTCTGGTCTTTGAGTATGCTCTCTTAATTGAGACAATATCAAAATTCTTGCCCTTACATTTTACGTTTCCGGAATATTGGAAAACTTCTCAGAACATTGTATACTATCTGTTGGAAATTATCCTTTAATAAATAATAAATTATTGTATTGTTTGTTAATCCTTTTTAATCCCGAAATCTTCTAGGTGTTAACGCACTCCTATGCCTTATCACTGCATTCAGCGGCAATTTGCAGCTACCACCAAGGACTTCTATTGAATATATATCATATTTGATTAGTTAATTATTTTTGCTGCAATTATTATGAAGAAATACCTTTGCAGAAAACTGGTGTCAGAATAGGTGACTTTTTAACCTGCACTTGACAATCTTAGGGGTGCTGCAAAAATCTTTTTCAAGGTTTTTAGGCTTTCATCTCCTAACTAAGAACATAAGATTCTTTCATTAATATTTTTTTGCAAATGGTATTGAAGTATTTAGAGTTATAATTACTTGGGCTTCTCCTTGGAGTTGCAGATTGTTCTTCTGATTCTGTATCAGAGCATTATATCCAGTGACTTGAAAACTATTCTGTTATTGCCGTAAAGTAGACACTTCTAATTGGTTTCGATTTCAAATTATCTTCGATTTGTGCCACAAACCGAAGAGTTAGGTCATCCTTGAAAGGATTATTCGCCCTCTGCATCCAAATTGAAAGCATCTTTTTACACACAAATATATATAATAATAAGCACATCGTATTCTAATATTGTCTAGGTAACTAACCCTACGGGAAGTTCCATGTTTTAGGTGTTTTGTCCCGGATTCTTAAAAATGTTTTGATTGCCAATATTTATTAAAATATATTTCAACTAGAGAATTTGAACAGAAAAAATGTACATATAAGATTTTAGCTAAACAACATTATACCCCCCCCCCCCCCCCGGCAAAAAAATATATGGTCACCTTATGGATACATCAAATGGCTTTTTTGAAATCGATCCAGCCGTTTTTGAAAAAACGTCGATTTACGGCAAAAAATCTGTTTACACACACACACATACTTTTTCCAGATTTGACCTCATTCGATTCAGATTGGCTTGAAACGTCGAGAAAACATAAAATTAGCAAATCGTTTTTTTTAATGAAAGCATAAACTTTTCATTCAGGAAGTCAATAAATAAAAATATGTATATAAATAATGAGCAATATAAGCTCCGCATAAAAATTTGTTTCCTAATACTACATCAATATTATAACTTCTAAAAATCACATGGTATCAGATTTGATACCTAAATGATTTAAGGATGCTATATTAAAAATATTCTAGATACAACATTCTTTTAAAATATATTGCATATAATCAATTGTGTAATTGCAATTCAATTTCAATATATTTAAAACAGCATTTAAACTATTTTATTGATTAAAATATGTATTTGTCATATGCATAGAGATTTAATATAAATTGATATAAATGTTCATATATAATACTAAATTACTAAATTAATAATAAAATACTAAATTTTTAAGTTTTGATTATAAAATCATCCAAGTTTGCGGCTGGAGCTCCAAGAAGTGCAACATAGTCCATTTATCCTAAAAGTAGATGCTTGATAAAAAGATATTATTTATAATTAACATATTATTAAATTTTGCATTAAACATGAGCATATCAACAAGTTTCAGATAGTCAATATTTTAACATAAATCAGAAAATGCATGCAAAAAATAAAAAAGCATGTACAATATACCTCTTCTTCCGTTCAAAAATCTATTTCTCCCAAAAATCTGATGCATAGTAGTATAAACAGGTTTTTCCTTCAATGCAGGTTTTTCATTCGATGCAGGTTTTTCATTCGATGCAGGTTTTGCTCTGAAATTTTTTCCTCTTCTTATAATATTTGTTATTTTAATATTTTTAGCATTACTAGGTGTTAATTGAATACTAGGATCTCTTGACAATCGTCCAATATAAGATTTTTGTTTTACACCCGAAGTTCTAATGCTTGACTTATTACATTGGGAACGCCATTTTGTGATAACAGGAATAGATTTTATAGGAGAGCTTTCATGTTCAGAACTGATTAAAGTTGATGAAGATATTCTTGGTAACTGTAATCCATTACCGGAAACAGATTCAATTGTTTCTAGCATTGGAGGTCTTCTTGTTGGTGGTGGTGTAATCGTATTAAATTGATTTTTATTATCCGAAGATATTCCTATAGATGAACTGACAAGATTAGTACTATCAGGTGAGCTTGTAAAAGACAAATTTTTGGACATATTCGTATCAGTATGTGCAGGCCTTGACACAGGTAAGTGAATCGGAACTCTTGAACATGATCCAAATGTAGATGAAGTTGAAGGTTTGCTTGAAAATGTATCAGACAAATCAGGACATGATGTTGTCATATCTGATGATGTATTACAATTATCATTCGTTCCCGTACTTGATGGGAAAGCATTTGATTCTTCCATATTATGTAAATTTGCTGCTACATGATTTATGGCTTCCATAGCTTCTCTATTTAATTCTGCCTGTTCTTCCTGTTTATCACTTTCAGGTACTTCAATTTTAGGCACAATATTTGCAAGCGGAACATCATTTTCTCTATCACCATCTTCTTTTGCCTAAAAGAAAAGCACAATTCAATCTCTTATTTTGAAAACATTTATGAAGGATTACCATGATTAGAATATGCTAGGTTTATTAAATTAATATTAATCAATTTAGCCACTCTTCTGAATTTTTTCAATGTAAATAATATTTTGAAAATAATAAGTTATAATATAATATTATAAAATATATATAGTAATTACTATTCATTTTACTACGTTTTACTACATTTTTTGCAAATATTTTATAAAATATATATAGTAATTACTATATATATGTATTTTACTATATATTTTTTGTAAATATTTTATAACTAAGAATAGTTTTTAAAAATTCAAAGATATCTGACCATTTTGAGATTTACACAGAATCCGTAGAAATGCGGCCCCCAATAATCCGGAATGCCCGATAGTCCGGCACCGTTTCGGAAAATTTTGTTTTTTAATGTGAGCAAATAAAAACGCTTGAGAGCTATTCAAAGTTCTCGGGATAGTTTGGGCGTGAACAGAAATGTTTTGAAGAATGACTAATACTCTTTCTTGATTGGCTCAAATACAATTTGACATACAAAAATGAAGTTTGCTACTCATTGTCAGTCGGTAAACAACTGAAACATGAAAACAAAGAGACGAATTAAAAAGTCCAAAGCCAAGACATAAGTAATGGTTCTAGAGTCATAAGTAATAGTGGCTAGAACAGCTAATCAAAATACATTTAATTGGTATATTCATCAAAAATGTATGTACATGTACATATGATTATATCATATTCTAATTTGTTTAGGAGCTAATTTATCAGCTAGATCAAGGATGAGCAATCTGCAGCCTCCATGCATTTCTAAAACAGAAGTTTCTTTATTTTAACAACCTTTTCTCATCAATAAATCAATTGTAATGCATTCTTTGCCCATTGTATTAATTTATGAAGTATTTACAATTTATCTTTGTGAGTTATGCTGAGTGCGGCTTATTACTAAAATTCAAATGTGGCCGACCAAAAAAATTGAAAACTTTTGGTCCCATTTGGCCCATGAGTTAAAAAGGTTGCTCGTCCTAAAGCTAGATACATTAGATCATCAATAGATAGATTATTGTTCAAATGATTTATTGAAGTACATTCAAAAGAAAAGCCGGTAAAAGTGCACGCATGGTGCACGGTGGAAAAAGGAAAACCATAGATGAATAAACAAATTGGGCAATGAGTGGGCAAAACAGTTCGGCCAAGATATAGGAGTTGCTGAAAATGTATGCAATTAATCTGATGGTTGGCATCATAGATAAAAGAAGTGGTTGGCATCATAGATAAACAAGTATAAAAGTGGTTGGCATGGAATTCACCGACTTCTTTTATTCACTTTATTCTGCAATCTATTTAAATTACAATATTAAGCAGAGAGTGCTGACAAATATATGTGAAAATAAAGTTGATTGCAAATTAGTATAGCTACACTCAGTGGTGTATCGGTGTATCGGTGTATCATTGTCAGTTGTGGGCGTATCTACTAGAGCTATATTTAACATGGTAACAAACATACTGAAAGCAAAAAAAAGAAAAACAATAAAATATAGCAGAATAAAAGTAATAAAGTTATTTATACTAGATGAGGTCATGTGGCAATTTTTTTTCAACCTGGTGGGGTGGCCTTCCAGGTGTACTCTACTGGCTACAATTTATTAAGATACACCTCAATTCTATGTTTATATTTAGAAGCAAGTACTCATAGATAAATAAGCATAAACTACTGCAACTACTGCATGGCAATTTGTTCTGCTATTCCTAGTAAACCACAAAACGTTATTAAAATGTTAATATAACGTAACATCTTTAACGTCGAACATAAATGTTACGTAATCTAGGGACACAGACGTCTCTATTTCCGCCCCAAGAAAGTAACAATTGTGAGCAAATCTGTGTCTTCGTGAATACTTAATTAATGTTGGCGTGTAACGAGAAGCGTTTAAGATTTTTCTCCGGATTTTATTCAGAGTGCAATGGATGATGTTCAAGTTACTCTTTTTGCAATACCCCAATGTTAAATTCCGTAGGTCCACACGGGTCCGCAATTTTTCGTCCACGTTTTCGGACGCGGATCACCAATTTGAATGGTTAAAAAAACTTTCAATTTGATATTGGAAGAAGTGGTGACTAGTTTTTGGCAAAGGCAGGTTCAGCGTTTGAGATACAGAGTTAAATGTACAAATGGCAGTTTCTGAAAGAACTAAGCATCCGATTTGAATGATTCAAAAAAACTTTCTGCTTGTGTTAACAAAACAGGATGTGTTTTTTATTTTTTTTTTTTTTTCAAAAAAAATTTTTTTGTATATCGAAAATAATTCAGATTTTAATTTTAATTCTGGCTAAAGTTCTAAATCTCACTTTTATATTTAAATAAATAATTTTAACTTTGTAATTCAGTTTATATATTTCTAATAAATATTAGAAAATGTTTATTTATCAGTGTCATACTGTATGACTCATACACCACTAGTTTAAATTAAATTAGCTCTGATAGTCCGAAATTTTCGATAATTTATCACCTACACTGGCTCTGAGCGTGCCGGACTAATGGACTTCTACTGTAATATAATCAAGTTAATAAATTTTCATTCTTCTAAAGGAAAAAACCAATTATAACCTTTATTTTTTTTGTCTGAATGATTTAAACAAGTTTTGAACATACGAAGAGCTTGATTCAACGCGATTTTTAATTGATACATTTAAAATGAAATTATAAATTCTATTACTAATTTTTTGATTAAACAAAAAATGTATCAAAATATTTTAACAAAACGTAGATAAAAAAATATTTCTTAATGGGCATTTTAACATTATGGGTAACATATAGAAATTTATCAGGTATTTTCAAAATCATTAAAAACGTTGTAAATAAATTAGGAATCTTTGGAAATTAGGATGGAATTGGATCAGAATGCTCAAATAATATTTCGCAAACTGCATTTTAAAAATATATGAAACTCCGAACGAATCTTTTTTGAATTTCTTAAAATCCATGAAATCATTATAGAAACGGTCTAGAGTTTGAAAATTTATTCATAGTAACATCTGAAATTGATACCTAATTGTCTGATACTTTAGCACAAACCATTTTAAATATAATTTATAATATCTAGAATAATAGTACATTGTGGATTTCATATGTTTTTCTAGTAAATATAAATAATTATCAATAAAAACTGAAATATATTTTAAACAAATTCTGTTATATAATTTACAATTCTGACATGATCAAATTAACTGCAAAAATGATAATGTCTGACTATTTCTTACATTTCTGCCAAAACAAGGTAATTAATTCCTTACAAGGGTTTTTAATACATTCAATACTTAATATTCTATTATACGATTTGCATAATTTAAAGAACTCAAAGTACACCAGTTTTAAATAAAACATTTTTATTGTATAAAGAATAACATTATCGGAGTCTATGATATCTTAAATATATAAAATTACTTATAAATTCTTTTAAGCAATGTGAAAACTACACTAAAGATTTAACTTGTCCAGACTGAAGCATTTTTGTTAATTTTTCAACTTCTTCTAGTGTTTTGGCATTACGAATAGCTTCTCTAATATTTCGAATTTCTTGCTGTGATAACTGTCCATTTTTCTCCTGTTCATTCAATTTATCACCAGGAACAAATGTTTTAGGTTTCTTGGCAATTTCTTTCTGGATGTCTTTTCCTTTCTTTGATTTAAATAATGCTATGGCTTCTTCACGTTCCTTTTGTTTGATTTTACGGAAATCCAACAAGCGTAGGTTTGGTAATTTATAAGCTACATATAATCTATAGTGTTGCTTTGATGCTACTGGATTGTTCATAAGACTCAATGTTGTTAAATGAGTTAAATGAACTAACGGATCTAAATCAGACAATTCTTGAATATTATTTGCAGTGAGAATAATACTTTCCAAATTTGGCAAATTTTCATGCAAATTATCGGCAATGCGCATAATTCGATTATTATTCAGTAATAAACATTTCATACGTTTTAACAAGGGAAATCCATCAAGTTTTCTTATATCATTGTCAGACAAATCAATAGTATCAAATTGATCTAACGTTGCTCCCATATTTTCAATTTGTGGAATTTTATAACCTCTAAGATCTAGTTCACGCTCTTTTGCAGGATTTATGTACTGCAAGGACTGATGAATTATTTCTGGTGTTAACTTCACCATTTTGAAAGTATAGTATAACTGTGATAATCTGCTTTTATTATAAACAATCAACGTTTTGAAACAAAATACACGAAACTAATCTTCATTGATATAAAATAATACTAGAAGCCGCTTATTTATCATTTTTCACGTTACCAACACAACACGAGTTTTGACGTTTAAAAAGTAAGCCCAGTGATGGAAAAGGATTTTCTAAATAAAGCCATAGATAAAAAGTACAAAGATAGCATTACTAGGTATATATACCTAAATAAAAGAAGAATTCTAAAAATGTATAATCATGTAATAATTATGTAATATTTAATGTATTTAATCTTATGTTCAAGCGGATGAAATAATATACGATTGTTGAAAAATACAAGAGTATTTCATTATATATGTATAATTCCATGATAATTCCTGAATTTCTACTGTAAAGAAGATAATTTAAAAATTTTTAAAATCTGCTTTTATCTATGCTTAAAATGGCGCATTCTGATTTAACTCTACATGAAGATTTAACAAATTAAATGATAAGTACAATCAGAGGCGGATTTACAGTAGGGGCAGTCGGGGCTAGTGGCCAGGATGGAAAAATTTGAAAAGTAAATATTTTTTTTTAGAAATTAAAGAATATAAAACAATTGTTTTATTCATTTATTCTTTCTTACTTTTCAAATTTTTCCACCCTGGCTACTAGCCCCGGCTGTAAATCCAGAGTTAACTCCAGGCAAAGAAAGAAACCACTAGAGTGTCATCCTGCCTTAAGGCAAATTACTAGAACTTCCATTAAATATTCGAGTATCAATTATTATTGATCAATGATTAATAATAATTGTTTTAAATATTTTTAAAGAGATAACTTATAATTTCGTTCTATGGTGACGATCTTATCACTCAAAACTCTTTACATTAAAAAGAAATGTGAATGAATCTATCTGAGGATACTTTTTTTTACGAGTAGAATATGTACGCATATGAAATATACAGTTTTAAACTGAAATGTAAATTTAAAACTCATATTTGAAGTATAAAACTTTGTATATTTATGAAAATTTTGGAAAAAACATTTTTTCTGAAGATTTTGAAATTTGTTTGAACCGTATAAATGAACTTTAAAAAATAAAAATCTTGGTACCGAACCCAAAAAAAATGTAACAAAATTTGTTCGTATTATTGAAATATCTATAATTATAGGTAACAAAATTTATAATTATAGATATTTCAATAATACGAAAGTTTGTTACATTTTTTTTGGTTCGGATCCGAAATATCGATATTTTAATTAAATTTAAATTTTAATTAAAATTGTATAAAATATCTGATAATTTATGTGCATATGTCTAATGATTATTTTAGACATAGATAAATAAGCATAATGATTGTAGACCACCGTCAATACAAATAAAATGGTTTTTGAACCATTCAAATCGGACGCTCCGTTGTCTCAAAAACTGAATTACACATTTTGGCACTTTTTGTCCCGTATCTTCGAAACGGCTGGACCTGTTTTTGCCAAAACCTAATCAGCACGTCTCTTTATCAGTAGGAATCGAAAGTTTTTTGAATCATTAAAATCGGTTGATCTGGCCAGATCCAGGCGCCCGAAATCGTGGACAACTGATAAACACGAGATGGAGATGTATAGCTGCCAGATCAAGACTATTTTAGAGTTAATACTTCTAATATTAGAATTGCATATGCAATTCTTGATAATCTGGATTCTGAATTGCGTAAAAGATGTACAGCATATGAAAAGAATTAGTAAAAGTTATCATGATAATCGAATTTGGCAATTTGGATAATAACAAAAAGAGAAAGAATATTTAATACTTTATCTATTACAACCTTAACGCAGAACGAACGGTTTTTTGTCTTCCGGCAAGTTGCATAGTTGCAATGTCGTGAGAACATAAATTTAGTAGATTGGATTTTTTGGTAAGAACTTAATAAACTACTCCTTTCGAAATTTAATTACACATTAAACATTATACTATAACTCTCGCAATAACATTAATGTAAAAGATATTTATTCTGTAACTTTTTTGTTCCTTAACATAACTAATCTATAGCTTGAATAAAATAGTTTTCATTCAAGGAATAAATCAAACTTTAAACACTAACAAAATATGAAATACAACAACCCTGACTATTAAGATCAAAAATGATGATTATATCACTTGCAAAAAATTTACAGTTTTATTATTTTTCTAGAAGATGTGGTGAATGGTGTAAAATCACTTATCACAACATCAACTGCAAATAGCTTAAAAAACTTATTTCAATCACAAACTTTTCAGCATCTTTGTAACTTTAAATTTTCCAAGTTTTCTATAAATTATTTGTTTATATCATAGCACAAAACATTTTAGTACAGCTGCTTAGTTTGAAAAGACCTTCATATCAAATTAAATTTATATTTACAGATAGTTACAATATTTTTCTTCAATTTCAAATAATAAAGTTCTTTCAATATTAAATTATTTCAAATACCTTTCTATTGAAATAATGACAATAAATGTCAATATCTTATGGCTAACTTTAATATATGATGTTAAACTTGAATGATGATGACAGAAATTTTTAAAATTTTACTTCCAAATTATGATAAACAAAATGTTAAATTAGTCGAAGTTATAATATATATTGGAAAAATAAAAACACTGAAAAGAGAACCTCTACTTTTTTATGATTTTAATAAATTTTACAACTGTCCTGAAACGGACAAGTAAAATATTTGACATGAAACTGAAGGCGTTGGCAAAATACAAATCATCTGATCATTGCCAGTGATTTGTCGAAAATCTTATTTATTGTTGATTAATGCAGAAGAAATTTTCTTTTTAATCGGGCCCTGGTAGAGTTTTTCTGAAGTTTTATGGCGAGCAAGTTCGGGTGATCAGCTAGGGATTTCTATATTTGTGTAAGTAAGCGATTATTTCATCCTCAACTGTGCTAGTGCCTGTGTTTTTGTGTATTAACCAATTTGGAACATACTTTGGTGCTTTCAAAATTTCTTTTAATAACTTGTTTTGGAATCATTGAATTATTAAAGCGTTTGAGTTGGAAGTTGAACCCCATAGCTGTATGCCGTATGTCCAAATTGGTTTAATGATGGCTTTATAGAGGTAAATTTTATTATACGTGTCAAGTTTTGATTTTCGTCCGAGGAGCCAATAATATCTTCTTCTGGTTTCTTCAAGCTGCTTCCTCTTTTTCTTAATGTGTTCTTTCCCGGTTAGTCTCTTCTCCAGGTGTAAACCTAGATATTTGACTGTATCTGTTTGATCTATAATTTCGTCATTAAGTTTTACTGGAGGACAAGTTCCTTTGCTAAGAGTGAAAGTGATTTGTTTTCACTTGCTGCTGTTAACTCCTATTCTCCACAAGCTTAACCATTTTTGTATCACGTCAAGATGATTCTGCAGCATTTTTTATGTGATTATGGGATCTTCATGTGTTGCCTGTGTCGTCTGCATATGATGCTGTCAAAATGTCATCTTTCTGTGGTAGGTCCGCAGTGCATATGAGGTATAATAGTGGCCCAATGGCACTACCTTGAGGCACTCCCGATCTGACAGAATGTAAGAGAACCTCTACTCATAACAAAAATAATTTTGTTTATTTATAATTAACTAGTTATATATTTTATTAAATAATACACTTTTGCAGATAATCAATATGATTGCTCTGTAATTTTTATGATCTAAATAAATAGTAGTAGATTTAATTACACGTATAAAATAATATATATATATATAGAATGCTGCCATTTTGCTTCAAACAGCTTTATGAGTTTTCATATGAGACTGCAAACAATGTGCTTGTATAAAGCCTTTTCCACATACAGTACAAACATGAGGCCTCTCTCCTGTATGGATTTTCCGATGAATGTTCAAAGCATTTGATCTATTGAACGAGCGACCACAATAATCACAGGTATAAGGCTTTTCCCCCGTATGTATCATAACATGATTTTTAAGACAACTACTAGAAATGAATTTCTTATCACAGTAAGTACAAGCAAAGGGTCGTTCACCACTATGAACCCGTTTGTGAATAGAAAACAGACTACTGTTACGATAGGCTTTTCCACAAACAGTACAAGTGTAGGGCCTGAGGTCAAGATGCATTCTCATATGAATTTTTAATTCACTATTTTGTTTAAATGATTTTCCACATTCAGTACATAAGAATGGTCGCTCTCCTGTATGTGAGTAAGTGTGAGCAACGTAAGCAGCACGTTGTTGAAAAGATTTAGAACAAGTTTCACATTTAAAAGGTTTTCCAGTCTCATGCACATTCATATGACGTTTCATTTGTTCTTCTGTTCTACAAACCTAAAATATTTCTCAAAATATTATTTTGAAAATACACATAAATTATTAGGTGTTCAAAATTAAGTTTCATCACTATATTTTGATTCAGTGCAACAGTAATATACATTAAATTCATACTATCATTATGGATCAATACAAAATTAAGTAATGTATGCAAAGTTTATAAAAATATTTTTTATCATATACTAGAAAATATGTTAAAAATACAAGAATCCTTTAGTAAAAAGTCTTACCTTTTCACATATTGTACATTTTAACTTATTAGTTATAACACGATGTTTTTGCAAAAAATGTATCCTAAAGCTAGAAAGCCTTTTAAATGATTTTCCACAGGTTTTGCATTTATGTGAATTATTTACTACATTTTTACTGAGTACTGAGGTACTGACAGGTACTTTATTTATTTTGGTAACTATTATTGGAACAGGCTTTTCAACAGAATTTTCTATATCAGACTCAAGCTCTGATTTCACACTTTCATTTGTAGATTCTACAACTATTTCTTCAATCATATCATTGCTGGCTAAATCTTGATTTAAATCATCATCCTATAAAAAATATTTAATGAGAGTGAGTGTAAGTATTATACTTCAACATTAGTATAAACATTATGGTAAAACTGTGAAGTAATAACACAATTTTGTTTTAAATTAGGAAAAATGTTACTGCCACTTTAAAAAATATACCAACATTATTAGGCTCTTTTTTAAGGCTTTCCTTTAACTGTTCTAATAAAATATCTTGATTTCGTTCACATTGTCTTCGGAATGAAAATGCTCGACTGACTTGCTGAATACATTTCACACATATTTGTTGTGGTAATC